TCATTAGTTTATATAATATAATATTATGTAATTACATTTTTCAGTTTTCAGTTTTTGGTGTCGGACGAAATTCAGATCGGAAATTGTCGCATAGGTACTATACGGATGGACAAGGAAACATCAAACACGTGCACCATATTGGTGGTTTGTGTAAGTAGATAAAATATTATTCTTATATTATCAATAAGATAAAGCATGATCAATAATTAGTTATTAATGTTAAAAGTCGTGTTGAAAAAAAAAATAATATAAATGTCCATAGAAGAATGACTCCCGCTGTCATTTAGAATTCAGCTGTCCTATGACGATTCTAGTTTTTATAATATTATCATTTATCAACTAGATTACTTCACGATTTCGTATCACGTCAATGCTACAGAATATGCGAGAAGCTTGCAATATTATTATTATAAAATATGCAAGTAATACACATGGGGAGGGGGGGGTTGTAATATTGAAAAATAACAATTTAATCTTCGGGAATTTATTTTAAAAATCTACTATTTATACGCTGATTGAATTCCACAAATCTTTTTTTACCAAATATATTATTACCTGCCGCGTTCGAGTATTTTTGGTGCAATAAAAAAAAAAGATAATAATAAGTAAGTTATAATAATATAACAAATTAATTCTGTGTATTGTTTGTTTTTGCGCTTCAACAGTTCGCGTTATTACTATTAATATAAATTTAATAACATTCACGAATGGAAATTTGGAATGGAACACGCATCGTTTGCATGGGAGTTGTGCGGTTGTTGTGCTCCGGATAGAATATTAAACATTTTTAAGTCGTCGGGCGGACTAAAATGGTGGCGCAGCATTATTTTTGAAATCCATTTTTGCATTTTTATTTTATTTTTTCAGTAGTTCACCCGATATACAACTTGACGAATAATAAAAAATATATATTTTCGCATGATTTATCTAAGCTTATTTAAATGTGTTCCGCAATCGTGCCAAATATATATTTGTAAGTACTGTCATACACTCGTATCTGTACAACACTAGCTACTTCCCTTCACTTACCGCTAAAAACTCTCAAACAAGCCATTACGCATATAGGGTGAGCTTAGTTTTTGAATAAACACCGCGTGGAATACGCGATAAGAACGCAGCAAACCTCTTGCGGTCCCGAGTTTATCTCCGAAATAATGACAATAACAGTTTTAATAATAATAAAGCAATATAAATATTAATATTAAAAAAAAAAACCTTACGGTACGTGGCCAATCGGAATACGATTCTCACCGCACAAACCCAGAAAATACATTGTCTAAATTATGTAATACTATATTATTATAATACCGTTCCATCGATGATGAACTTTGCTGGAAAATGGGTCAAAATATTATATTATGCACTGTATAATATAATATACCTCACTGACTAGCCTAAACAAAGGTAGTCCCTAAATAGTATATAACATAAAAATTCCTTGAAAATATTCCTGACGGTATATATACCTACGAATAATATAAGCAGTAAATTTATGTTTGAGATCTAACTACATATTACGTGTAATAATAAAGGCACCTATATACCTATACTAAATTAGTCAAATAACGTTGTTTAATTTTTTTTTTTGTAAACAGTATTTTTTATTATTAGTATTTGTTTTTTTTTTTAGACAGATAATTGCATTTTATTAACGCATACTGTTCAGCTATAATACGGTTTTTCAGATTATTAATAAACATACGGGTAATCCATATTATTATAACTCGAGTGTAAAATCTGCTGCGTAACACCGTTTCAATTTTTTTTTCACTGACCCTATTTTATAATTTAACTAGCTTGTATACTTAACGGCGATTTCAAACGATTGACCTTTTTCGTAATATTATTACATTAGGTATTAAATATTAATGCATAATATTATAATATTATGTTTTCCAATCACAAACTTCAAACTGGATGTAACTATAATATATTATATTATGTACCTATTAATAAAATCACGATTTCTGCATGTACCCAGTATGATTGATTCTCCTCTCTGAATTTAAAATAATAATATACTGTATAGCAGAGTTATTCAACCGGTGGTTCTCGACCAGATTTTAAAGTATACCTATAATATTATATCATGTATATTTCATTCTGTAACAGGCGATTTTACCCCCCCCCCCCTCGGTAAAAATATACTAGGCTATTAATTATACTTCCGGTAAAAATATACTAGGTTTATTTTACCTCCGGTAAAGTTATCCTAGGATAAATTTACCCCCGGGGGTAAAATCATTTGAGGGTATTAGAAACCTGCGACACCGACGTTCCACCACGGTTTTCAGCGGATTGCCAAGGCTGATAATATATTATGGTATTTATGCCTGAAAACCATTGTAATATACGAAACACACGAGTATTCAACCGATATAATATATAATACATAATATGTAAGAAATATACGAAATATTTGTGTTCAGTAAACTTTGATAAGACCACTGATTGTTATTAAGAAAATAAAAAAAAAAGTTTGATTTTGGTGTGTAAAACGCTAATGATTAAAAACATTTAATTTAGAAGGTTGTCATCAGAATAAAAATAGGTTACAATAATATTATAGTATGCCTTTAAGAACATTTCATTTAGATAACTCCGATCCATTTCACGAGTTATATAGATCAAGAATAAAAATATTAGAACTGAAAACAGTGGAACTGGCAAAGAACGACAGCTAAGAAGAAAAACCCTATAAGAACAAATTGACACAGGTAAGATATGAACTTATTATTTTTGACATTTTATTTCTAAAATTTTAAAATTTTAAATGTTATTAACTATAACAATAAATTGTTGTCATCACTTACCTACCAGTTCAATATTCCATCGGATCACAATATAAGAAATATTCTTTTAATAATAATCTAATGCCAAATAGTGTTCTCTAAAAAATAACAATTGACATATTATTAGTTTTAAGTTCAATGAAATGATTGAAAATGTATGAAAATCTTCACAGTCACGAATATTGGCCAATTATTATATGTACCTACGTCCTACCTATATTTTAGTTAAAAGTTCATATATGAACTGTATGTATTGTAATTTTCAATTTTAATGTCTAAACTCTAAAGACATCGAATGCTTCATACAAGGTCCCTCATAAGTATAATTCTTACATAAATTTAAAGATACCAAAATTAAAATGTTAGCCAAATTTTGATTTGAACATTTAAAGTTCAAAATGTGTAAACTAAAAATAATTAATTACAATCTTTATACATTATAATATGGGCCCCACACCCACATGGACCTGTGGCCTTCCCCCAGCTGGATCTTAATCTGGAACCACGTATGACCCTATCAATAATATAAATATATAGAATATATTATTTACTATTTATTGTATACTTTATTTCAAGTTAAAAATTGGCACCAGTCACGGGTTGGTCATCGTTGATTTAAAAGCAACGTAGAAAAAACAACTGTCTATCTCCACGATATAGGTCAATAATACAGATTAATATTTTAAAAAAAAAACCAAAATATTTTTGTAATATTGAATAAATATGTTTTCGATGAAACTATGAAAGTAAGACTTTTTTTTATCATAAATATGTATGTATTTTAAAATATTTATCCCCCACCCTACATATTGTACCTGATATCCGACTCTGCCCATGTCCTCAGGGTATAATTTATTAATGTGTATACAGTACACATCTTTAATAAAACAATCGCTTTCGAAAATAACTATACATATTAACATTCTTGAACCATTTTTATGTTGAAAGTATAAGTTCTTATACTTATTTATACCTAATTAGTTTCCATGAAATTTTCATTTGTTAAAATGTTTTATTTTTCTTTGTAAATATCACTTAGCTTAAAACTTTAGCATTGTACTTAACTCAAACTAATATATCCCCCGACAGAAGCATTATGCTAAAGCGGAGTTTCAAACATACTATTATTTATTATATTATATTTTAATATTTATATCATTGTATGTAATTATTTGTTTAGCTAAACCAATTTTATATTATTATTATAGTCTATGCATAATTATTGTTGTCCGTTAGTTTATTGCAATGGATATTCGTAACAAATACTTTAAGGACTAATTATAATTGTTAGTCACCGCACACTGAACATAATATGATAACAAAATTTTACCGGAAACCTAAAATCGTAGTCATCTGGGCATAGGTTTATAAAATATAATATTTAAATATGAAGAAGAAATATCTCACGAAATTATTGAACTATTCCAAGTTCTAACTTCAGATAATAGATAAACGATGACAGATAGGTAAAAAGAATTTTCAATATAGACCTCTTAATGGGCACCAACTAAATACAATTTCGTATTAGAAATCATACCCTTGTTCCTTAGAATTGAAGATTGAATTATTTTTTTGCTATAAAAGTTGTACGCGTGCACAAAAAAACACACGTGATTGGAAAATCAATACATCCATTGTTTCACTCGGAATCTAAAAGACTTTAACTGAAGGTATAAAACGAACACTGCTGCGGGTCTGCAGTATATAATACGAATCAAAATACAATTCCTTGTTCAGATATTATAATATTATTATAACTACGCGTATATATCAATAATAATGTTCTTGGAAAAATAAACGGGACTGAAATCCTAACGAATAGTTGATTAGAACGTTGCTAATAAACGTCGTTGTCTACCCGTCGTCTGGGAAATGTTTGAATTTTTCGAGTAACCTGATTTTAAATTGCACTTCGAGTTCATTTGCAATTGAAAGTCTGACCTGAAACACCAAAAGTAAAAATGGCCACCACTAGTGACTTCGCTGAAGAAATCGTCATGATATATTATGTTGTTTCATCTGTTGATACATGGGTTATGCCAACGGAGGATGAAGAACAACTTCCGCAGAAGACGAGAACGCAGTTGCCAGCGTCGAGCGATCGCGGTTGGCTACACGCGAGACCATCAGATGACTCGGAGCGGACTCGGCTGCTTCGGTCGCCTAGGTGTGACGGACGGACGACGGCGGTGCGATGGCGGTGGCTAGCTATACCGGCAAGATGACCCAAGCGTCTCGGAGGGCATCAACCGTATTATGTTGACCAAATAACCAAATAATGTGGCGTAATATTATGTCTTCGCCATCATCTTCGTCGAGTTTTGGATCTAAAATATCTTCTAGTGGAAGTTGTTCTTCATCTTCCGTTGGCATAACCCATGTAACAACGGATGTAACAACATGTATCATGACGATTTCTAATATCGAATTCTATATATCTATATTCTAAGCAAGATAAATAGTGTTACATCAAAACAGGTACACGATGTTTAGCAAACGTTTCTATAGGCTCTGTTAGCAATGCAACTTAAATCGTACAACGTTTTGAAATATCAAATGCACAGCGAGTTCCTTCGAACATTTTAGTTGTTTTTTTTGCATTTCAACGAACATTAATCTTAGGGGCTTGAAACGTTATTATTTTCTATATACGCAATTTGATACACAGTTCTGTACGTCATCATGGACTTATTATAATTACCTAATAATAACTAATACGTATAATATTATGAAATAGTATTAATATTTTAACATAATACTATAGGACTTGATGTTTTTGCAAAAAATATTTCACATCCTTCCGTATTTTAATACTGTCTGCTAAGAGTAGGTAATATAAATAATAAGTATATTATTAGATTAGAGCCGTAACTAGGATGAGGCGAACGAGGCACTTGCCTTGGTAATTACTACCCACCAATCCGACATCCGTAAACATAATATTATATTTTTAATACAAAATGTAACCCTGAGTTGATTACTCATCTATCTCTTCACAATTATTGAATTATTATTAGAACATGATGTACAAAATGTAAGGGGACAGGGGTATGACATTGGAGCTAATACATGTCAGAAAAATACAAAAATGTTCGAATTGCAGTTATAGACTCGATAAATATAACCTTTGGGCGCATTGCTAGAGTTCTGCCTCAGGATAAAAAAAACTGCTTGGTACGGCTCTGCCTTAGAACTCGATGTTAACACACTTACAACTCACAGTATTATGAATAGTAATATAATACATTTTAATTATGCTCATTATGGCTAGTAGTATAGTGCAAGCCCGCATGCAGGTTCTGGTATTATTGTTGGCAATTTAATAACAAGAAATATATTCATTTAATTTTATAAATAATTTATATTATATTAGAATTTTAGTAACATTGGTTTTATAATTTTGAAGGTGCACCACAGAATAGATGAAATCAGAATGCACCCTCTCCAAAAACCATGATAAGAACTGAAGTGCCACCAGTGTAGCCATATAATAAAACTATTTTTATTATCTGATTTATGTCGCAAAAGATCACTCTGAGTATCCGTTTTATTTCGATTTGTTTGTAAACAAACTACTTTTTTGAGGCTGGCTTGTAAAAAACCACTTAAAAATTCATTTTTCATAAAAAGTGAACACTAGACATCAGCTACAACATCTGAATTCGATATTTTGATATATATATATATTTTATATTAAAAAGGTCTATGGTCCATATGCAAAAGCAGGCATTAGGTAACTAATTAAAAACTTAAAAGTTAATTTTGTTTATTCGCTTCTATAACTTTTCTTGTGTTCTCATAACTTTCCCACCTTAACACATACTATGTAACTTGCATAAATATATTTAGTCTACCATTTTATTTAACTCACCTTTAAATGTTCACCAAATTGGAGTTGGATCGTAAAATTCTAACTCCTCTAGTTGTGTAAATATAATTATAATAATTATCTTTAAACATAAAAATATATAAAAGTAAATAATTCTCTAAATAAACGACATGCTCACTCAATTACATCACATACTACACTGGAGTAACTATACAAATAAACTATACCTATACTATATTTGTCTGTAATAATTTAATTTGTATAGGGGGTGCAAAAAAATAAAACAGGTATTTCCGTGAAGACAATTAATAATTACCGCGATAAGGAAATCACTTTTATCGGACCCGACAATCATATTATCTCTTCTGTAGATCCCATTAACTACCATACATAAACCTGCAGTTAGTTTCATGTTATTATATTAATGAAATATTAAATATAAAATATATTAGTATATTATTACTCTTATTAATGAAATATACAATACCCATTGAAAATATATATCATTAATTACAATTTCAAATTAAACACCAATTCTTCGGTCGAAATAATAAAATTATATACAATATTTTTTTTACTGTACTTTTTAGTAACATTGGAGGCACTTTAGGCTAAAATACCGTGTCTGCTATAAGAGCCCATGTAAATTTTTGGAGAGTGTCCATTCTGATTTCATCTATTCTGTGGGTGCACTAAAATATTTATCTAGATAAGCAAATTTTGTATCTAAACTAAACATTAGATAAATCGTAACATAACTATCTAGATACTTCAAAAGATAATTTATTTCAAAAAATCTAGATAATTCCTAAAACTGGATAGCTACCAAACAGCATAGCGAGTTTGTTTCAATTAGGTAATTTCTATGACGGATAATTGTTTACTACATTTATTTCTTCTACTCCACTTCAGTCATGACGTAATTATTGTTTTTTATTTTTTATTTAATAAAAAATTATTATTTTATTAAATTTTGGTCTAATTTATTATAGGCATGACGATGACCTACTTACAAGGAAGTATCATCATCATGGATGTTCCCCAGTTTAGATAATACGAGTATAATAATATATTTTCTCATTTATGTTATAATATTATTATGTTATTTTTAATGATTTTATACGTATATAGGTAAATTATTTATTTATATTATTCATAAGTCATGTACATTTCATAGGCTGGTCGAAAAACTATTAATAAATCTATTTAATGAAGACAATGATTTAGTTTGAGTTGACCTGGACCTACATTGTTACGCTGAGGAATTCTAATAAAGTAAAAATATGTTAAGTGTTTAAAATCTTTCAGACATTTTGCTATTTCCATAAAGACAAAAGAATAGGACGAACTCATAAGGAACCTGCTTCACTCACACCAGTGATATATATTCGCACACAATCACGTGATAACTCTTTCAAATAGATTTTATTTCTTCCCAAAATCCAATGCGCCGTACCCTGAGTTAATTGTTTGAACTTTGTTTTCAAAGTTGTGCGAATTATTTGGAAGTAAATATTATTGTAAACAATTCTAAACATTTGTAAGTTTTTTGGTCTCTTTTTTCACGTCGATGGTTTATAATTTTATCGGAATGGCGTATAAATAAAAGAAATTGGGATACTTTGGCCGGCCTTTGTGTCCGACCGTCAAACTTCACACGAATGTTCGATAAGGCTCAAGCTAGTGATGTGTACTGTGTCGTGAATGTTTAAATGGAAGTCCAGCTGTGTCGAATCATTGCATTCGAAAAACGCGTCTGATCCACTGCAGACATTCCCCGCTTTAACTAATTAGTTTTATGTAATTTTTCCCAATATTTTGAGAAATTATTGAGAATATTGAAAAATTACCTAAACTCTATTTTAGATTCTGAGTGGAACGATGACTGAATTGATTTTACAATGATGTGTGTTTTTTTTTTATTATTTATTTTTTTTTGTGTCTGTGTACACGATAAGTAGTCGAAATAATGCTTCGATTTTCAACTTCAGTATCTTGTTCGATTGGAAAGTGAATCTAGTTGGTGCATTCGGGAGGTCAAATTTAAAAATTCCCAATATTTTTCACAAGAGCCGGGACTAAACATATACAAATTAAGGAATAACGGTAATTTTTACGCAAAATCTATTTACAAAAAATCGATTTTGGTTTTTGGTGTAACTCTAAAACAAATGAACGTATATACATGAAATTTTCACTGGTTGTTTATATTTGCATTTTCTATACACGATAAATTTTTTAAAAGTTTTTGACTGTTTAGGGACATTTTAATTTTCCTCTTTTTTTTTAGCTTTTATTCTAAAAATATCAATAAAATTTTATTTATTGGTTTCGAAAGCTTGAAAATTTAATAGAAGGCTCCTAGTATATTGTTTCAAAGGCAGATGAAAAATATTAAAAATCCTTAGTCACAATTTTTTTTTTATAAGCATTTAAAGTTCAAAAATTGACAAAATATGGAAAAATCAAGAAAATTAGCAAATTATTTTGAGTTAAGAATTCGTAAAAATTTTTCTTTTTAAATCCAAGATTTGAAAATGTAATACAAGTTTTTCTATCTTTATCAATAAAAAATTCTCTACCGGAAAGTCAAATTAAATTTTTATGAGCGTTTGAAATTCAAATTTGTACAACATTGGATATTTACTCGATTTCTCATGTAGAGATTTTGTTATTTTGTTGTAATTCAAAAACGAGTATTGTAGATACATGAAAATTTCACTGAATGTTTATATTAGCATTTTCTATACACGGTGCAATTTTGAAATTATTTTGACTTTTTTTGAGCTGTTTACAGACATTTTCAGTTTTCAATTTTTTTAGTTTTTTGTTCTATAAATATCAATAAAGTTTTATCTGTTGGGCCAAAAAGTGTAAAAATGTAATACTAGGCTCCTGATATATTTTTATAATAGCAATTGAAAAATATTAAAAATTCATAGGCACAATTTTTTTTTATAAGCATTTAAAGATGGAATTTTCACAAAATTTATCAAAATCTCGAAAATTATCAATCACCGTATTTAATAAATTATAAAATGTTCAGTTTTCATAGCTAAGGATAGCAAATTTAAAACAAAGGTTTTCATAAATATTTCATACTGTAACCAAAAAATCTAAAAAATATATGTACAAAGTTAATTTTACAGACATATTAAATTCAAATTTGAACGAAATTACATAATAAAAAACCTAGAATAACTATTTTAGTTATTTTGTTGTGAGTACTTATTATTCGTGGGTACTTGAAACTTCTAAAGTACACTATTATTATATATCTATGGAGTATGGACTATGATAGTATCAGAGTTTGTTGTTGGTGTATAACGCGTTTTAAGTACCTAATGGATATTGTGATATGATTAATTTGGAATTCATTATAGGTCAATTTTTAATACCATAGATAAGTATATAATATTTCTTATACCTAGAAGGACATACCGTCTCCTCTCAGAATCGTTTTTCTTATACAATGATATTATATCGTTGAATTCAAATTTAATACCATCCATTATACAGTGACCCACTTGTAACCTACTGTACAGGGCTACAACTCATTTGCGCACATTTACCTTTTTTA